GAAAAAATGGTTTGCAAAAAGAGCAGTCCTTCATTGTGAGGGACCAAAGGGTACCCGGAGCATCTACGTGGATGTCGCCGATCTTGTTGCCCACGCTTGTGCCTTTGAAATGAGCACGTGCTCTGTAAGACATGGACTCTTGGAAAGGCTCACTTGTCACCAGCGCCATCTGCTCAATCTGGTCAAACACAGTGGATTGCACTTTCACATATGCGCGCCTCTTTCGCAAGCTCTCTTCATCGTAGCTGAGATTCACTTGGAAGCTGTTTTTCGTCAATGAGGAACCTGTGGCTGATTGCACCGCCCCAAGCATTTTGGTCAGCTGGTGATGCTGGAACCCATCGAAGAACATGTACAAGTCTCTCGTGTGCAAAGTGAGGCATTGCGGGTCTCTGGAAGCGATGACTGCGTTGACAAATGTCTTGAGGTAGCTTAAGTTCAGCGGCGCTGTCCGCACATGTGGATTTGTAATGGGCTCGCCCCACTGGCAATTGTCCACGAATATCCCTACCCAGGCCTGCTTGTCGCCTCGGATTTGTGCAACTTTGCTGCTCTTCAACAGCTCCAACAGCTCCCTCTCGCTGCCAGGGCACACGTGGAGGCTCACGTTGCTGTTGAACAAGCTCCGGGCCTTGGCTTCACAGCTTTGCATCAGCTCTAAAGTCTCCTGGTTAGTGTTCTCACCGCAACGTGCCCTCACGGTCTCCATAAACTGTGTTAGGGCTTCACTGCAACTCGGGCTCGATGACTCTGCTGGCGCCGGAGCTGGCGCAGATTCCTCGCTGCCTTGGTCTGGTCTGCTGTCTAAGATGTCTTGGCTCAATTTTGTTTTGACCTCAGCAAACAGAGCCGCCAAGGCCGTGTCCATCGACAAAAGATCAGTGGGCACCTTGCCAGCCCGGCACCCATTCCTCAAGCTCTCGTCATATTTCGGTGTGAAGATCACATCCTGCTCAGTCAGGGGCGAGTAAAAACTTGAATGAAAGGCTCTGTTTCGTATAACACGTCACATATTTATTCCGATATTAGAGTGCTATGCGGTCCTCGAAAGCATTGAGGGCCAAGTCAGCAGAGGCGCTCCAACCACATTTCCAAGTCAGGTCAGCCCGCTTGTCTGGGAAGCCAAGGTGCTGTCGGAAGACTTCGACGCTACCAAAGACTTCCCGCAGCTTTTGCTTGAACTTTTCCGGCAAGTTGTTCAAGTCTGAAGTCAGATACTCAGAAGTGAGGTAGCCCTTGAGACGGTACTTGTACAAGATCAAATCCGCATAGCCTTTGTTGTGCGTGGCCGTCGTGCCGGTCAGAAAGCGTGAGGTCAAACTGGTCTCCTTGAGGAAGCCTGCCTTTTTCTGATCAGCGATGAATTGAAAAATAAAAGTCAACTCATCATCCAAAGCTGTCTTCGTCAAGCAATAGTAAATTGCTGACACAGAAGCCCATAAGGGAGAATCCTCTGCTTCGTCCGCCAGAAGGATATCGACAATCTTAGGGTTCTGCAAAGCTCGTTCGTACACAAACTGGCTCTGGTTCAGGAAATTCGTTGTGAGCTTCTCTGACTTGGCAGAAAATTTCACTTTGCTGCTGTATAGGTCGATGAGCCCTTGGGGTGTGTAACCCGTTCCCATTTGCTCTTTCTTAGCTTGGACATCGTAAATCCTCTGCACTGGTGACCTGGCCAAATAGCTCTGGGTCGACAGGTCTTCTCGAATCTGCGCTGCCTGCCATTCCATGTCTGCCACCGTCTCGCACACTTTGATCGTGACGGGGCATGACAAAATGCACTCCCGCCATGCGTCCATCCGAGGCTGCTCGTCTGTGGCGCCACCCTGGACAAGCTTGGCTGTTTTGTGCGCAGCCAAGTAGAAGGCGACAATTGACTCCTCAGCGCTAGTATGCTTCCAAGTTCCTGGGGCCGGAAACTTACCAGCATCCAGCTCAGCTTGGAGAATGCACACAGTGACCCCCTGAGATTCAAGTCCTGCAGGACCTTCTTTGAAGTAGTGGTCGAAGATCCGATTTACTGCATTCTCTGAGATTGGCACTGCCGGGCAGGGGCAGAAAGACATATCCAGCCACGCTAAGTTGATGCAGCACATGTAATATTTGCCATTGTGCAGAGCTTTGAGAGCTGCGCCCTCATTGAAAGCTGGCAAGGCTCCAAGTGACTGCGGGGCCGCAGTCACTTCAACATTGCATGTTTCATGCACTACCCGAGCGCGCTCCAAGTGGCTTTGCAAAGCTTTCCCAGTGATGGCGAGGACTTGTTTGTGGGCGCCAAGCAATGCCGTTGCTTCTGGGAGCGCGGAAGAGCCAGGCTCAAGCGGTCCAGCCACCACCTTTGCCTTCGCGACTTTCTTACTATCTGCTGCAGCTGCAACCCCTCGCTTCCCCATCGCGGCGCGCTGCTAGACTACTCAGAACAGCAAAACCTGCCGGAAAGAAAGCTGACATAAAATTCCCTGTCTAAGATTTAATGTAGGGTTCACGGTTAGAGCAGAACAGAGTTGGTTCTACCGTGCTCGAGATCCTAACTGTTCGGAGATGCGCGTATTTGCTTGCCGTGCTGCTGCGGTGGAGATCCTAACTGTTCGCGGGGTGGGGCAACATTCCGCGGGATCCCAATTGTTCGCGGCGAGCATGGCGGAGTTGCGCGTATTTGCTTGCCGTGCTGCTGTGGTGGAGATCCTAACTGTTCGCGTGGTGGGGCAAAATTGCGCGGGATCCCAATTGTTCGCGGCGAGCATGGCGGAGTTGCGCGTATTTGCTTGCCGTGCTGCTG